GCGCCGAGCTTTAATGATTGTGGACGCAAGAAGAATTATTTCCTTCACTGCAGTGCCTGTACAGAATCCACAGCAATCCCACAGTCAATCAGCCCCCCAGCCAGCCAACCACTGTCCCCACTTTACGATCGAAGAGCACTCGTTAATTGGCTCTATTAGACATAGTAGAGCTGACACGTTTGCTTAATGATATAAAACGTACGTCATTATTATCTATGGAAACTCTACCTAGAATATCATGATGGTATAATCATGGTATTACATCATGGTATTAGACACGCAATGTTACTCAGTGATACCATCATTTCACTACCACTTCCTCTGTTGTCCTAATTTGTTGTTACTACTTAAACTCACTCTCCTATTTCATATTTTCCCTTTCCTTGTTATCCCTAGCTTTACATGTATGTGTATGCATATAATTATATTATATATATATATATATATATCCTCCCTTTGCGCCAACCTACCCTTGCATAAAATGCGTATAGTGACCCCCACCACCAGGTCAACCAGACAGAGTGTGCAGCCTAACCCACAAACACTGTGACACAGTTTCCTGAAGTGTTACTTGTTTGGGCTGACAAACAAACAAGCCACTGAGCAATCAGGTTAGACTGACACCTGTCTCGCGTAGTCATGCCTAACAGCCCAACAGCAACAGCAGTCAACCACTAGAAGTCGTGCTAGTCAGCAGACATTATCTTAGTTAATTACAAACCAGTCGAAAACTAGCACGACCAATGCAAAAATTCTAGTATTTAACTTTGATGTGCGAACTACCACAGCTCTCTGCCAATTCAATTTAAAATAATATCACATAAATGCAATCTGCAAATTCCCATGAATGGATGTATAGCAGTATTACTGAATACTGACCATACATTCACTCTGCATGGGTTGCTCAACATTGTATAATACATACATCAAGTGACAAGTTGACTCATCACAGACTAATTTTTTTTAAAGCGTATGGCAAAGAATGGAAACACTGCTGCAGTTTTCGCTACAAATTAAAGCTAACAAGCTAAAAAAAAAATTCCTACTAAAAATATCCGGAGGTTACTGACAGCTAGAATAAATGTTCATACGCGATGACGTACATCACTACTGTTATCTTGAGAGCTCAGCATCAACCAAGAGGATGTATCACAACTGTTATTACACTGCAACTTCGGTTCAATAATCAAATACCCAACATGCTAGAGTCAATCTAAAAAGTTGTGTCAGTATGAACGTAGGAGAAACATTTTCATAGGTTATCTACGTTTAAAAGGGTTTTAATGTTCACCAGTGCAGCCTATCACATCGTATACAAAGCAGGGTAGGCATGCTTTTCATTGCAGCTGACACACAGCCTACAGAATCTTTAGCAGACTTTTCCTTTATTCCCAATTGCAAAAGCACAGTACTCCTACTAATGAATAGGAAACTCTATATATAAGCAGTGCATTTTAACATGAAAAATTCATTTGAACATTATCTGGTGATCTGTATCAGGGGGTGGACTATTGCTCTCATTCAGCCAGTGACACAAGAAAGTGTGTCTGGCTATCTAAAAATACCTACATTATATGGCTAAGCTAAAAATTGATGGAATTTTCAACAGAATACCTGCGCATATTGGGTGTGGCACATACAGGACATTTTCACAATCATTTACACACGCCATTACCTGTACTACGTACATGTAGGTCACATCTCTGGTACTCACAGCTAGACAAGTTTTACCAGTGGGAATTCAACTAGGGCTGTGTCTCACTTAACACAACCTAGCCAGAAATATCATGCAGCCTTTAAAATTATTTACAGTAGCCACATGACATGTATGCTACCACACATCATTGCAGACACTATATTAACATCTACTTTTATTAAAGGTAATGTAAGCTACGGGCTATATCATAGCTAACTAATGCTCCATTCTGTTTTATGGCCCTGTCCCACTTTGACGATTTAGCCAGCGTATGCCGACGTATCAAAATTTCTCTAAAACGCTGGCATTTGCTGAACTATCAATGTTTTTATTTATTTTGGGCGTATACATGTATAGCGTATTCATAACGAGTTGGACCTATACATAACGTATTAGTAACTTATATAAAACGTTTCAATAACTTATAGATAACTTATACCAACGAATGCTTAGCGTGTTGCCGGCGTTCACAACTTATGCCCAACGATAGTCTAACTTATGCATAGCGCGCGGCAGCGTATCGCCGACGATCACGTGTCGTATCCTATAAAAAGGCTGCCGCTCAAGGATTCAAATCATAACCGCACTAGACATCGCAGTATCAACATCACCGTCGCAGTATCAACATGCCAATACCATTTTTATATACCAATTCCCCTAAACGCTGCCAATACGCCATTATACGGTCGCTGTAAGTTAGAAACACGTTCAGTAAGTTCTGTGGTCGTCCGGAACACGTCAAATACGTCTACATCCATCAATATGCGTTGGAGACAAGTTTGATATATATATAACTTACACATAGGTTCAAAGCACGTTACCCATAGGTTCAAAGCACATTACTCATAGGTTAGAAATAAGTTTTGGGTATTCTAGACATTATCTCAACGTATTTCGACTTATGAGTATTACTTACAAGTAACGTGTGTGAACGTGTGTCAACGATCGTATAACTTACCTACAACTTATGGCCCGCGTACATGCGGGACGTATGGGCATACGCAGAAAAATTTTGTGCATGCACAAACATTTTCGACGACCTCGCCGTACTACGACGTATACCAGCGTGCTTCAGTGTGCTCTTAACTTATATATATATAAATACAAAACTTACCCATAACATATTCGACGTATGCCAGCGTATTCACCAAATTTTCCATACGTCGGTATACGCTGGCTTGCATACGTTGGTGTGACAGCGCCATTATTGCTGCTATGCCGTGTATGCAACCGTGTATGCAATCTTTTCATAAATATTTTAATCTTTACTTTGACGAGCACATTTTTTCACATTACTTCCACGAATTTAATTTCATCCTCACGCAGCAGGTAATCTCTATGAGTATAGCAAATTTAAAATACACTTGCACTTTGTTATATTTTTTGATGAATACAGGCTGATATAGTAACAAAATAAAGCTGGTATTTCGGTAAATATCAAGCATTACCACGGGCTTAGAGCCACCTTACGTTTTCGCATAAATTGTACAAATACAACTATGCCACAATTTATCTGATGCAATAAAGTTATCATAAGTGTTTGTGTGCTCATTTAAATAGCAGAAGAAGCTAAGTAATATGGTCACATGCTTATTTGAAATAGGGTTCCAAGCATATTTTGAGAATCTATGGCAAACTTCAAACATTAATTAAGTTAACTTCTTCTGTAAACCATACGGCAACCACTCAGTGTGCTTCCTACCTAAATCAACAATGACAACACCTATGAAGGGTGCAGGTGGTGCCGGGTGGCCAAGGTTCAACTTCATTTAACTTCTCTTTTTTTTAATAAACTTTATTTCCAAAATTACATACATTTTCTATATATTAATAGACAGACATAATATTACTATTCAATAATATTTATACTATTTTTAGCTAAAAGTAGACTGTATGCAAACCCCGAACTAGAATAAAAAAGAATAGATTTTGAAAAGATAGTTTATAAATTTAGATTTTTAGGACCTATGACAAGTTTAAGAAGGCACCCAGGCAAACTTTTCTTTCAAAGAAGTGTTATCAATTTACCATAGCCAATTATTTTTCAGCAATCCTTTTTATGTAGTACAAAAGAGGATACATACATAAGATTTATGGGAAGGGAACAGATGTTTAGCAGGTAGGGTAGCCAATGTGGTTTACTGATATTGATATCAGTCAATTTTCAAGGGCACCATGGCAAATAAACACAGCAAACATGACACGTGCCATCAGTGCCGTCACTGCCGTGGTAAGATTCGAAACCTGTATTTATGATCATTATGTTTCCTTACTATTTAAACATGCACAAATAAAGCCTCTCAGGATCTTGCATCTCAACACTGTAAATAAGAGTATATGGAATGAGAATGACCCAAGAGAAAAACACTACAATTGCTGACCTCCCAGTCCAAATTACAGCACTCTCAGCATATGCTCAGAATGCTGAAGGTGGTTGCTGGGTAGCATGTGGGAGTAGGTAACTCCTCCTAGAAAATTGTGAGAAATGGATGCTTTGTGATTATTTTTGGTGCTATATAATCACTAATTTACAGGCCAAAGCACGTTCTTACCTACTTTTCTCCTCGAATTTACAATGGTCTCAAAAACAGCATCGGCGGCCACAAATAAAGACGGAAAATAGCAGATCGCCAGATATCATTTTCACCATTTAAGTGTAGCTGTAGACCTTCCTTGTACCCATCATATTATAAGCCCTGGGCACTAATGACTAGATAATAGGCCTATCATGAATTCTATTAACATAACCAAAACATTATATTATTCATTGGATGCCTGTTATTCAGTTGAACTTAATCTTTCTAGGGACAAGTGGTCCAAATATACTTGTTTTTTTAAATGAGAAATTATGTGTTTATAGAAGTATTGTGACATATGTACATGTAAACTGTCCAATGTTGAAAACGCATATTTAGCCACTTGTGGCTACTTACACGTGCCCGTGGAACGAGACGTGAAGTTCAAATTGAACAACAATACTGTAGGCCTATAGCCTATATACACACATGTGACATTATGCACAATAACTATGAAATCGTTCATAACCTTAGTCCTTATCTTGGGTTCGCTGGTGAACTAAAGGTAACGTTTGTTTAACCCGTGAAGGAGTTACAAATCCATGATTACAACCACGCTTGTTCTTACTTATGGAAGTTATGCTGATAGGTACTATAGGTTATTGAGATATCGATGTCCAACGAATTTGCAGGTCCGGCAGGCTAAATTTGTTTTGCTTATTTTTTTAGTCATGATCAGCCCTAAACAGACATGCAAATAACCGATTAAAAATTAATAAAGCGCAAACCTGATCCGTGATGTGACCTTTTTGAAACACCAGATTCCACTTCACCATCTAAAGGCCTTTTTCGCGAGTCTGTAGTATCCATGTCCGACGTCTCTCCCGAATCCAGTTCTTGTGGGGAGGCCATGTTGCCGCGGTTGCCTACACTTATCTCCCGGTAACCGGGCGTTTGCATGTGCGTGCAAAGAAATTGGGCAGCGAAAGACTCGCTGCGTTTACTTTAGTATTGTGCTGCCCTCTTCCGCGCACAAAATACAGGAACTCGTTTTTAACACTGCGACTTCGGATATCATCAAGAGCGTAGTAAGCATAGATATCCTATAACAACCAATATTTTGTTATAGGATATCTATGGTAGTAAGGATACCATCGCCATCGGCATCAGGAGTTAATGAGACAAATTAATTTGTCTCATTAACTCCTGATACTATCAAGAGTGTAGCGTATTAAGCATTCTTAATACGGTCTTGATATCATGTTTATGACATATGCACTAATAATTGCCTAAACCAAAGATATTAATACTGCTTCTCGTGTGCCTCTTTCACATTTTCATTCGCCTCCTCACNGGGAAACCGGGAAGGAAAGACAGGTCGGGCCTTGACACTGACGATTCGAGCAATTTACAGCAGAACAGTAAGCTGGAGCTGACAGCACACAGCAGACGTTGCACACAGCTAGCAGATACAGCAGCATCGGGCAACTGCGTGTGACTTGCTCTCCTAACATGGCGGTTGTGGCGACCCATGACCTACGGCTATTATTGGAGAGTGGTTTAATCTTGTCTACGGCACTATAGGAATCTTTTGTGCCTGGCTATTGGGTCGTCCTTTTGAGACATTGTGAAGAGATTGCTGACCCAAGAAATTGGGCAGCGAGAGACTCGCTGCGTTACTTTCGTATTGTGCTTGCCCTCTCGCGCACAAACACAGAACTCGTTTTTAACCTGCCGCATTTCGGTTCATCATCAGACGTAGTAGCCATAGAATATCTATTAACCCCATCGGCGTAAATCCGCGGGGAGCATCCCCGCCCCCGCTCTGAAAGGAGGGGGCGATGGCCTGTACAAATATGCCCCCTGCAGATTCAAAAGAAAACTCCTTCCTCCGTGCCCCACTTCGAAAGTTCAGCTAATTATCGATAATTTGTAGACATGGCAGACCTAAATCATTTCAATTACTGCAGGGCGTGTACAGGGGGAGGGGATCCAGGGGGTCCGGAGCCCCACTCCCTGCTCGCGCAGAAGAAACGCATCTGAGGCGAGTCTAATTTCAAAAAAATTTCGTAGGTGAGGTGCCCCCCAGCCCCACCGCTTTCGCGTGATCACTCCCCCCACTCCTCGGCGTACGCATTTACTACCCTGCCTATAACAACCAATATTTTGTTATAGGCATATCTCATAGGTAGTAGACGAATACATCGCCATCGGCATCATGGAGTTAATGAGGACAAATGAATTTGTCTCGATTAACTCCTAAGCATACTATCGAAGAGTGTAGCGTATTAAGCTCTCTAATACGGCTCTTGGATATCATGTTTATGACATATGCACTAATAATTGCCTAAACCAAAGATATTAATACTGCTTCTCGTGTGCCTCTTTCACATTTTCATTCGCCTCCTCACCCTTTTCTATGCTCTAGTTGAATTTTTTTGTTCGTTCCCCTCTGTAATATTCTCCTACGCATCCTCCACTCACCTCTTCTGCTAGCCACGAGTTACCTTTTCGCTTTTCACTATGTGGCGGAAAGTGAAACAGCTGTGGATGCTGGTCGGGCTACCTCTTTGCCTCTCCATGCCATCCTCCTCCAGTCCACCACCTCCTCTGCATGATTCGTTTGCACGTAGGCCTACCGCTACGACTTCATTTTTCAATTGCCTTCTCCTGTTCCTCCCTTCCCTGTATCCCAGTACTGCTCCATACACAATTACACATACAAACTCCGTAGTAAAAACGCAATGTACAAAATTATTTATTACCAATACTATTTGTAGCAACTAAGAAAATATAACCATATCTTATATATAGTATATATATATAATATATATATATATATATATATATATATAATATAGAGAGAGAGAGAGAGAGAGAGAGAGAGAGAGAGAGAGAGTTTTCTAACGAATTAAATTTTCGACCACCCGGACTCATCGCCGTTCATGAACTGTGATAAGGCCGAATAAGTAACATAATAATAAAAATAGCGTCCATTTATATACTGTAAAAATAATGACTTTAGACCTTTGCATGAGACAAAATGTCAAAACGCATACGCATGTATGAATATATTACAAGATGCCGCAATAGTATAAAATTTGTCGCTGGCTAGATAAATATAATAATCCAGTTTTGGTTGACACAAAACTGCTTGATTCATATCAAATATTATACAATATTTTATATATCGTATCATATTAAATTTTTATCTTATGTATTTTCAAAAGAACTGTAGCCTACTATTAAGTCTATTATCCTCTATTATGCAGTCAAACTTGTTTTCAGATTATTACCCTCTAAATTTAAGTTACGTCGAATAATAAACATATATGTATCCTCAAACATTAGATCAAGGAGAATACATATGGCCTAACGACTTATTAGCAAATTTGCCTGTTGAAATAACGCCGTATTATAAATTAACGCAAATTAAACGCAAAAATAACAGAAATTATAGTAAATAATTCGTAGTTTCACACAATGTCCGAAAGGTGGTGCTAGTGTGCAAAGACCATCAGGTCATGCATCAGTTGAGTAAGATCATTACATTAGTGAGATTTGGCATCGGCGCGTTCTCGTATCAGTTATAAAGCTTATCTCTAGTTGTTCTATACTTCTATCAGTGTCAGTTTCAGGCTGGTCACTACAGAATAAAGTGTGGGCTTTGTTTCGTAAGTATGTATCTATCAATAATTATTGTCATGTGGCATGTGCTTAGTTAGGGCCGTTTCATTTCAATAATAAACTAAAGTAAAGTGACTGTGTTTACCACGAACTATGTATTCTCTATCCGATCGCCTAATATTACAACGTAACGTTCGGTTCAAATGCTTCTCTGCGACACACAGTCTCGCCACTACACAAACCACAGGCACTTGGGGTTGGGACAGAGACTGTCAGAGTCAGTAAAAGTCCGTTTATGAAGGAAATTTGATATACCAGTGACAACAGTGGAACTGTAATTGAGAGGTAGGGCCTACGATAGTATTTGTGAATGTGCGTTCATATTATTTTCAGTTTTTACTGACTGTCCCAAACGAGCAAAATGGTAGCAACAATTTATCATAATTTTATTGTTGAAACTTTCTAAGCGTGTGTGGTGGTGTGTGTTAAGCTTAATTGCTGCTTGGGACCACAGATCTCTATTATACTAAGTTAGTATGATAGAGATCAGTGCTTGGGACACACTAGGCGATTGAGTCGGGCGACTGAGTGGACACACCGCTGCTTAGGTTTGTCGATGTGGGTCCTTTTCATGGAGCTAGACTTGCGTGTGTGCCTTGTACTGATTTATAGTTGTCTGTGTCTAGGAGTCATTTATTACAAGTAGGCTTTTATTACATGGTAGTGTCTAATCACTGTTAGTTTCACAAGCAGATGTACAGGTTAAATTACAAAAAATGATGTTAGTTGGAATAGATAAGTAGATAACAGTGTGATAAAAGTATATCCCTACACAGACACTATTCTCAGATAAGATCGATTTCTTTCTCAGTATTAGCTCTACGATCCACCCATGTAGCCCTTTTCTCTGTTACAGGGCTGTACAGGAAAATTTGCAAGAACCCGGTAAATCTTTGCGGGCATGGATGGCAATGCTGTAGCCTGCTGCACAATAAAAAGTCATGCTAGCCAGCAAAATAACTAAGTACTGGCTTTAGCTAGCCACTTGAAGTCAAAACACAAACTATCCCATTTCTAACATAGATCTGTATCATGTTGAAATAGAAATAGTAGTGGTGCTACTATGCAGTTACTCGGCATGTTGCAAATTTAAATTCCTGACCAGATGTACTTATCAGGGTTCTCTCTACGTTGCGCAAACGGGGCGCGCGCGCCCGTTTGGGAAAACTCCCCGCCTGTTTCAATCGTTGCGCGCCCGTTTTAAATTACCTCCGCCTCGATTAAATTCCTCACACATAAAAGTTTGGCCAGCGGCGGGAATCGATCGTCAAGAATTCCCATTCGACCAGGGACACCCGACGCGTGTATTTTTAGCCGTACCACGCATGCACTGCAGACAATACACAAGCGCAAACAGTTAACCTGTCCCGCACCAACACTAACCTGTACACCGACTCGGCTATCTTATATATACATGAACTCCAAATACCGTCGTATGGTGTGGTGGCGATTTTACGCATTAATTAGTGGTACGGTAAAAATACACGCCCCGCGACCCCCTAGTTTCCCCTCCCCCTCCCCCTCCCCTCCTCTCCCCCCTGTTTGAATTTCATCCTGGGGAGAACTCTGCTTATAATATGTTGTTGTGTAGACCTGTGGCAGAGATAAGGCGCTACACCTGTACGTAAAGCTGTCCCAGGTAGCTATATATCCAGGCATTATCTATTTTAGATAGTTATCAATGTAAACTTTGCATGTAATAAGCATGGGTGTATGCAGGGGGGGGTGGTGAGGGTCGTACGACCCCCCAAACATTTTAAAAGGTCACATTTTTTCCAAGACATTTTTTTCGAGGCGCTTTTTACACATGACATAAATGATAAGATCAGGTACCAGCAATGAGTCCAAAGACATTGCCAATTACGTTGACGTAAATCTATCCCAATTCCAGCAATTCTGAAACTGAGCCTTTTTTTTAAACAAAATTTTGTTTCATAAAAGAGAGACAAAGACTGACAAAGAGACAAAGACAAGACAAGATAAAGACAAAAAGTTCAAAAAACTGAATCAGAAAACTTGTTTTTTTTAAACTGATAAATTTTTTTTGGAAACAAATTTTTTGGTTTTAATTAAATTGTCAGGGGCGTGTACAGGGGGGGTCCAGGGGTCGCGCCCCCCCTGCTCCGCGAGAAAACGCATCTAAGGAGGTCTAATTTCAAAATTTTTCTGGGGGAGGGCCCCCCATGCAGACCCCCCCCCGCGTGCTACCGAGTTTGGGTTACAATTAGACCCCCCCTGGTATAAATCCTGTACACGCCCCTGTTTGTAATGACATTGTAATCACATCTTGCTGCTATTGCATTGTGAAAAGGTCCAAAAAATTATGATCACGACCCACCCAGAAAAAATCCTGGATACCCCTGATAAGCTGCAAGCACATAAAGAAATGCAGCTGGAGGATAGTGCACTACTGAGGATAGTTACGCAAAGTATGGAAAGTCTACCACTTATTTTTACATTTTTATACACATCTATATATGTATTTCAATATCCGTAAATAAATTTTAAAATATTGTTCACATTTTCTGTAAGTTGACCTATAATCTCTCCACTCATGTGTTCCCGGCTGTTCCTAAATATGTGACAAATTTTCTAAATCCAATATTCGTACATTGTGTGTGACATTTAAGTTGGTATAATCTGACCTAGTTTTATTTGGAACTGCACAAATTATATTTCATAAAATTGTATAATATAATAATAACTAGTCATGTATACTATGAAATAAATTATAATGAAATAATAAAACATAAAACACTGATGTTTCGCGTAGGCTGTCCGACTTATAGATTATAATTTATACCAAATTATGGTATCAAGGTGCGTTTTAGCATTTGTTAGTTGATCCTCATTAGGCAGGTCATTTTAGGCTGCTAGTAAAACTGATATCATTCTCCATGCTAGTTATGTATGTTACATCAAGAGCCAGTCTTAGTACCTTGTGTGGGTGTAGATTTTATACATGGGTAGGCCTAGTTAACTGGCTCCATAAGAATTCAAGGTTAGCGAGAGATGGAGCTAGTGTGTGTTGAGGGGGGGGGGAAGCTGAAATTATTTTCAGGACTTAAAAATATTTTTCTTAATTTGCATCCAACATGGCATGTATGTTGCATGAGAGTTCTACAACTATAGCACTTCACTCATTCGCAGGCGTGCAGCTGGTGCAACCTACTTTTGTGTTAACGTGCGTGTACCAGCGTGTACGTGCGTGTACCCGCGGTGTGACGTGCGTGTACGCGGCGGTGACGTGCGTGTACCGGTGTACGTGCGTGTATCTGCGTGTACGTTTACGTGCGTGTATCTGCGTTTACGTGCGTGTATCTGCGTGTACCCGCGTGTACGTGCGTGTACTTGCGTGTACGTGCGTGTACCCGCGTGTACGTGCGTGTATCTCTGTGTAACCCGCGTGTACGTGCGTGTATCTGCGTGTACGTGCATGTATCTGCGTGTACGTGCGTGTACCCGCATGTACGTGCGTGTATCTGAGTGTACATGCGTGTACCCGCGTGTAACGTGGCGTGTACCCCGCTTGTGCGTGCCTGCCTGAGCAGCAATTGTTTACAAAATTGCCTAGATTAGCCTCGTTTTCGTGCGTGACCCCAGGTCATGAATAATAATTAAGAATGGTCTATACGTTGCACATTGCCAGAGTTCTCCTTTGATGCATGCTGGGTCTGACACGCATGTCAATGCTGAAGCTAATTTATGACATCCCAGAAATCCTCTGACATGCCTTAATTGCCTAATCGGCGTGTCATGGTTTCCAGCTACGTTCATATTTGACGATTGTAACACAGCCGTGCTATGTTTTTACAGCTTGATATTTACATCTCCGAACTGATCGAGTTTACTTCTGTATTGAGACTGCATATGACACACGTAATTGACCTCATCCGAAACGGTTAACCCCTTCCCGGGCCGCTTGTTTCTTTTTCCCAGTCGACATATCCAGTCGAAGAATTTAGCGCCTTCTGATTGGCTTCTGATTGGTTCATCCTGCCTCCTGATTGGTTCAAAACAGCGCGTGTTTGCTTATTTAGCATATGTCATGTACTGTTTCTTATATATCCTGTGTGGCGTGGTGCGTAGGCCACCGGCGTTACTTCTGAAAGGTCGTTGGTTTGAATCCGGTTTGGTTTTTAATTATTTTTTTGTTTTCTGTATTTTCTATCTTTATCCATTTAACTATTGTTTTCTAATTAACGGAAATATTTGCATGATTGATTTACAACCATTAAATATTTTAATGAAAATTTTTTTTTAATAATTTAATTTTTATTTATTAGTGTTAATTAAATTAAATTAGGGTTAGGGTTAGGATTAGGGTTAGGGTTTAGGGTTAGGGTTAGGGTTAGGGTTATTATTGCAAAATAATTGCAATTCTTCGCTATGTTACCAATGGGCGTTTGTTCTCTTGTCAAAGGCAAAAGCAAATCGAAGCAGCCAATCAGAAGGCGCTAAATCCCTGGTCGGGATATGTCGACTGGGAAAAAGAAACTCGCTCCCGGGCCCTTTCCCATCGTTCTATAAATGACATGCCTTCTAAAATTCCTAGGAAGAACCCTGATTACTGTATATATGTGTATTTTTTTTATTTTTAGGAGAAATTCCACTGATGACCTACAGCAGATGTCCATTTGAGCTGCACACATTCCCTGCAATTGCATACCAAAATAAGAAAATTGACAAGGATGCCTCGGATAGTGTCACATACCATTGAATGTCTGAGAAAATATGCGGGCATGATTACTGTCGAGCCAGTACTCTTTCTGTACATGCTTGGCCTTTGTCTATACTACCCAGTCTTTCAAGCATTTACATATGAGAAGATATGTCTGGCCACGTACGATCAGAATGCAACTGTGTGCGAGGCTATAATAAACAGGAAGGACGTGAATGCCAGCGTGTCCCTAAACCTCACGGAAGAGCAGCTAGACACTATGGAGAACGAAGTTCAAACACATTCGAGTTACTGGACGATGTATTTCAACATCGCAAGCACGGTGCCGTCAATCTTTATATGCATTTACATGGGTTCCTGGTCGGACTCGTTTGGACGCAAACCTGCGATGCTGGCACCCTGTATCGGGCAGTTTCTTCTCGTCGTCTCCGTACTGTTCAGCCTATACTACAAGAACTCGTGGATTGGCTACATCCTAATCGGCGTGTTTCTGTCAGGTTTTTCTGGTCAGTACGCCGCGCTGCTCATGTCCGTGTTCAGTTACCTGGCCGACGTTACGGACGTGAAAAGTAGATCCGTGCGAGTCGCTATCCTGGAAGCGATGGTGCCGTTCGGCTCGGCCTTGGGAGTTGGATTCGGAGGCTATCTTAAGGACCACACAAATTACGTGACCGTATTTAGCATCGTCGCCAGCCTCTACGTCCTTTGCGGTCTGTACGTAGTGCTTGTCGTGAAGGACAGACACGTGCCGAGTCCCCAGGAGCCTGTTGACCAGCAAGGGGGTTTCTGTGAAAAGATGTGCCACATTGAGCACGTGCGCCAGTGTTTGCAGACGACGTTCAAGCGAAGACCTCATAACCATCGCGTCTACATCATCCTGCTCAATCTCATCATGTTTGTGCAAGTCATCATATTTGCAGGTACAGAGTCAGAGTGACACGTTGATGAATAGCGAGCAGGTTTTAGGGTGTTACTTTACACGTTCGTCTTCTCGATTTAAAATCATGTATAAATGCACATGTAAGATATATCTGATATCATGTGTATGTTCTATTTCTAAAATTTAATGAAAGCTTTTGCTTGTAGTGTAATCTGAACAGTAATGCGTTTCGAATCGTAAACTTTTTTCATGGATGAGAAACTTCGTGATAATTTAACTTTTTAATGTTGTGCATGAACGAAATTTATTGGTGAATTCGTTATAATATTTACAGGCATAGTTGACGTCATCTGGCTATTCTTTAAGAAGGTCCTCAGCTGGACGCCATCAGAGTTTGGATATTTCTCAGCAACACACGCTATTCTTGTTATGTTAGGTATACGCACGTGTTGAGAAACAATCAATTTCAACCTTTCTATAACAGAACTTCTTATTCTTTCTTAATTCTTGGACTTCAGGAATAGGTGATGTCACTTTCCTTTTCACAAAACTTGTGTTGGCGTGGTCATCCACCATGTATGGCTTTTACAATTCAGCTATTGCTGTTACTATGATGGCTGGTAAGTTTATGGTGTGAAGATGACAATAGTGAAAGGGTGTGTGTCTCATGAAAATTAAAGTCGAGCTTGTGAATATTGAGTTTAGTGACGCACGATTAGTCAATATATTAGCAAATATATGCGTACCGTAATCTCCAGTACCGGCTTGTACCCCATTTACAGTTTAGTTGTGACATCACATTAATGTACAAGCATCACGTAGTGAACACAAACTGGGTACAGCTAGGGCAATGGTGATACCAATAACCTTCAAACCTATACAGGCTGTCTGTGTATGGTACCCAACATCTTAGCACAATGCCACATATTTTACACTAGTGTTTAGCATTTATTTTTAAAATTTCTTCTTGTTTATTTTGTAAAGTTGAATTAAAAGTTCATAGAGGTTCCTGGTCACGGCACCAAAATGTAATGTTGAATTAAAAGTTCGATGTATAAATGATGAAGTAGATCCAAAACTTGTGTATTAAACTGAATAATTAACCTTTAAAGTTTAATAATTTGCACACAACAACAAAGCAACGCACACACGCACATAAGTGCGTGCGCTTTCTCCCGCGACCACAACCAGCCTTCCACTGACTCCTACATCTCTGTCCTATATATTACCCCCAAAACCCCTACATCCTGCGCACACATGTACCCGTTCTCCCAGACTGCGTCCTACCCCCATTTCACAATGACCCTAGAAACGCCTGACCTAAAACACGTTTACCATTCTTTCCATAACATCAATCCAGCCGCACAAGATGCGCGACACTCCCTCTACACAGACCACCACCAAAACAACCTCCAGCCCAACCTCGCTGACTAATTCATGCAACACCTGCAAAACACATGTTACAATTTTATTTTCACATGCACACTGTGTACGTTGTCTCGGCCACTCGGGCGATCAGTTACTTTCAGTTTATCTTTGTATTTGACATGCATGTATTATAGATGAAGCTGTGCAAGGCATCTGTCAAATACAATATTATGGCATTACAGCTCATCAGCTAACCTTTTTCACAAAGTGCTCACTTTTCTAAAGGTTGCATTTCAGTAGTAGTCCTCTGATTTGGCTCATTTGTTATTCATATAATCAGCTAAAGCAATGCGTGTAAAGAATTAAGGAAATATTTTAAATATTACCAAACAGTGAGGCACAAATCCTTTAAAATTTGCAGCTGTAAACGAGCCACTTTCCAGCCCTGAATACCTAAAATCATTTGCTTGGAAATATAATTTTGTAAGGTTTAACAGAGTTTAGGCGTACCCCATAGTTATTCCCGGTTGGCCTACTCCCATTTCTCCTAGGGCAAAATTCGCATTTCGCCTACAGCAAAATTCCCAGTTGGCGTACACCCATTTCGCCTACCCCCAATTCGTCTACGCTCAAAATCTACCCCTTTCCCATTTCGTCTACGATCGGTTTGTTCACTAAATAATCATTTATAAATAATAAAATATGGTTTTGATTGGCATACATAGACTATAGGAACCAGAAGAAAACGTAGGTATAATAATAATGAGAACACAACTTGACAAAAATGGAAAATACAGTAGCATAAAAATGAAACGATGGTAGTAGGCGAAATGGGCATATTGCCGATTCTGAGAGTAGACGAAATGGGAATAGGCTAAATGGGACGTAGGGGAAATGGGAGTAGGCTAAATGGGACGTAGGGGAAATGGGTGTAGGCGAAATGGGAGTAGGCCAACTGGGATGTTACCAGTTCAAGTATAGCTTCATCCTCACTATATTCCTGATTTAAACGCACATGTTTTGTTTCTGCTTTCTATCATTTCTGCATCTGTTTTAATGGGCATATTGTTACACGATGACTATGTCATTTTGTTCAGAACACCAGGGGCCTATATAAGATACAGTAAATAGTTCACATTTGAAGTGAAGAATTGTGCTAAGGTTATGGCATTTTTAATTTATGATGCCATAACTACTTATTTTGTTTCATGCGTTTTATGCGTGTCATTGTGTCCCCTTACAAAAAATGACATAATCAACCAATATCTGCCTGCACCTCATGTGTGTGTTGGAATTCTTGAGCTAACTGGGTATGTTTTGGTGTAAGAGTATTAATAATTATTTATATGTTCATTATGTAAATTATACTGGTCAATGAAATAATTTATAATTTCTTTGGTTAAATACTTGGTACAGGTACACCACCGATTTTCCGGACACTGATGGTCTGAAACCTCATTTAGTCCTGATAAAATTCACCTGGTGGCCACCACCTTGTTTTGCTCAAATTTTACCCTAGCTATGGCATCTAAGGCAGGTGCAAGTATCAGTGGTGGTTTACATTAATTTACATTTAATACTTGTTTACATTTCTAGCAGTGCATGGTGCTTTAGAGATGATGGGAGGTATTTAGTTGCTCAGAGGTGTATTGTTGAATTATTATTATGGGACCTCTTTTGGTCTGGAAAAACAGATGATCCGGAAAGGCCTTGGAACGAAGGGTTCCGGAAAATCGGTGGTGTACCTGTATTGCATATTGAAAACACTTTAATACTGATTGATGTTTTCATAATGATTGCATGTATTATTGTAGTCAAATTTAGTTATTTAAGCCTTTATTCATTTTGATAAATGATAAGTAATTCTCATGTCACTTGAGCAAGGTTCTATACTCCAGTTGCTAATGCATTACAATCCAAATCATGATTGAAGCCTTATATCTTACACCAATCTAACTGTTTTTGTTTCAGCTCTACTAATTTTGATGCCAGTGTTGAAACAACTGATGAAAATTCATGACATTGCAATCGCCATCATGAGCAGTTTTTTCCGCATGGCTAGCCTTCTGTTGTTGGCCTTTACAACCAACGCCTGGATGGCTTATGTGTGTACGTATACACAAATGATAAGAGTTTTTTAAATATATGCTAATGCACTTACACGTATTATAGAATGTTTATCTTCATCACTATGCTTAATATACGTGTCTGTAATATCAGTCACTGAAGATGCCATGTTGAGTTAACAAGCCCTGTTCTATTGTTTATTGTTGCTTAGCCCTAATACAATTCTATTCATTTATATGGATGGTCGCTTTAACTCGCTTATGTTATGGATAATGCAATTCAATTATATTATATCTCCTCTTCTTACTTTTGATACTAAGTTACTTAAGATTTCTTACTCATATCAAATCGAGGATATGTGCCTCGATCTATACTGAACTGGAACAATTAACAAATCTACTAGCATTCTACAATATGTAATATCAACACAGATGGCATTCTACAATATGTAACATCAACACAGATTGCATTCTACGATATCATATGTAACATCATTCAACACAGATTGCATTCTACGATATGTAACATCATTCAACACAGATTGCATTCTACGATATGTAACATCAACACATTATTATAGGTCCAGTCTTCTGGGTGGCTTTACAGTCCTGCCAGACCTTGTTGTGTATATTGGAGACGTGCAGGGGTTTTCTCGGAGGATGTCATTGTGTCCGTCACCCGTCCGTGCTGTCCCGTCTCTCGCCTCTGGTGCAGTGTCGGGTTCTCTTCGGGTCTCATGTTGTTTGTCGCTGACGCCCAGCTGCCCGTCGTCCATTGTAGTGATGTCCTGTTGGTTTGCTGCTTCTGATGTCTCTCGGAGGTGTCTGCGATTGCGGCGATACAGCCGACCTCCGCTGCAGATGACGTAGGATCTGGGTCTCCCATAGTGCTTTACCACCGTCCCCGATTTCCAAGACTTGGAGCCTGGAAGAGGGTTCATGTGTATGCTGTCACCTTGTTCTAGTGGTTTTAGCTCCTTCACACCTTTCCTAAGGTCATAATAGACCTTTTGTTTGGGCTTCTCTTTATTGAAGTGTTTCACTACTATAGCGTTGTCTATTCTGGGTTTTAGGATTTCCGTAGAGGCAGGCAAGGTATTCCTGGGGCGCCTGCCCATCAGAAGTTGAGCTGGGGATAATTTAATTCCCTCCAACGGTGTAGTTCGGTAGTCTAGTAGAGTTAAGTATTTGTTCTCTGCCTTGCTCCATAGGCGTTTCACTGTTTGTATCGCTCGCTCTGCTTCCCTATTGGAGCTCTGGAAGTGCGGGCTGGAAGTCTGATGTTCGATTCCGTACGCCTGGCAGAATTTATTGAATTCAGTCGAGCTGAATTGTGGCTCGTTGTCTGATTGAATCTGCAGTTGGATGCCGTGGCAAGCGAATATTTGCTTCATGGCGTTAGTTATCGATGAGGTTGTAGTTGAGCTCAGTTTGACGACGTCCATATATTTCGAGTAATAGTCCACTAGCAGTAGGTACTTGCTTAACTGGAAGTCAAACAAGTCACATCCAACCATGGTGTATGGCAGGTCAGGAGTTACAGTCGGCATTATTGGTTCAGCCCTCTGCTTGTTCTGATACTCTGCACATTTACTGCAGTTCTGGACTGTGTCCTCAATGGCCGAGTTCATACTAGGCCAGTACATAACTTCACGGGCTCGCTGTTTGCATTTGACTATGCCTAGATGAGATCGGTGTATTATTTCCAGCATGTCGTTGCATAGGGTAGGCGGAATTACAATTCTCGGTCCCTTACTTACTTCGCGAGTTCCAGTACTGTTTCACCTCAGCTGGAGCTTCACTTCTGCTGTCTGGCCACCCATTGCTTATCACCTGATATAGTGTTTGGAGTTCAGACTGTGTCTTCTCCTTGATTTCTACGTATCTGGATTTGCTGACGGATATCATGCTGATCACGTCGCTTTCCTCAAGATCGTCTGCTTCGACTTGTTTTCCGGGTAGATATGCTCGGGAGAGTGCATCCGACACAAGCATCTCTTTCCCCTTTCGGTATCTAACCTCGATGTCGTACCACTGTAATTTCAGCATCATTCTCTGAATTCTCATCGAAGCTGACAGTAGTGGTTTTGCTAGTTCTGTTCTAGCGGTTTGTGATCATTGTGGACTGTGGTCTTCTTACCGAACACATAGCAGTGAAACTTGGTCATGCTGTACACTATCGACAACATTTCCTTTTCGATTTGTGCGTATCGTTGTTCAGTTTCAGTCATTGCACGGGACGCATACGCAATAACACGACCTTCCTGCATGAGTACAGCACCTAACCCGTCTTTGCTTGCATCGCACTCTATGTGCACGGGTTTGTTTACGTCGTTGAATGCTAGTACTGGAGATGTACTGCATTTCTGTTTCAGCTCTTTGAAGCTGTCTTCATGTTCGTGCTCTCATGCGAATGTCACATCTGACTTCAGGAGGCTCTGCAGTGGTGCGTCTACTTGGCTTAGATTGGGAATAAATTTTGCTAGGTACTGTGCCAGACCAAGCAATCTGCGGACTCCCTCCTTGTCACGTGGTGCTGGCATCTCGACAATGGCTTTGACCTTCTCTGGGTCTGGCTGTAGACCACCTGCCGTGATCACGTGCCCCATGTAGGGTACACTTGGTTGTCGTATGCTGCACTTGTCGTAGTTTAGCTTCAGATTGTACTGAGTTGCTCGTTCAACTACTTGCCTGAATATTTCGTCATGATGTGCTTGGTTTCGACCTGCGATGAGGATGTCATCCACGATGGCGAATGCTTCGTCAATTCCTTCTATCATCTGGTCCATGATCCGCTGATATATTTCAGGTGCGGACTTTATTCCGAAAGGTAGTCTCAGCCACCTATATCTTCCTATAGGGCTGTTGAACGTGGTCAGGTATGACGACTTCAGATCCAATTCTATCTGTAGAAATCCTGACTTTGCGTCGAGTACTGAGAACAGTGTCACATCTGGTATGCATGCTATTACATCGTCTATTGTTTTCATGGGGTGATGTTCTCTTTTTATGACTTTGTTTAGATTTTTTGGATTTATGCAGATCCTTACTTTGTCCTTTCTGAGTGACACTACCATGAAGCTGACCCATTCTGTTGGTTCGCTCACTGGCGGGATGTATCCGTTCCTTTCCATTTCTCTGAGTTTCTCGATGGCACGCGGTTTTATTGCTGCTGCCAGTCGGCGAGATGGATGGATCACACTTTTTTCGCTTTCTTTGATCTTTATAGTGTATTCTCCTGGCAGAGTACCTGTGGTTTCCACTAATTCAGGATAATCACGTGCTATTTCTTCACGTGAGGAGAGTTCTCCGACAGCATCTACTCGCTGTATCAGACCCAGGCTCTCAGCAACATCACCGCTGATAATGTTTTCCTGATTCAGGTCGACGATCTCAAACTGTGCGCATGCTTGATTCTCTTTGTACTTCACTGGTAGGTTAACTGTCCCCACTAACCGTTCTCTGAGAGACTGACATCTTGATTCTTGATTCATCTTGATTTCAGACAACCGTTCACCGAGAGATTCTAGTCTTTCTAGCTGTGGTTTCACTATAATGCAGCATTTCGACCCTGTGTCTATTCTGAACGGCACGTCGTGGTTGTATACCTTTAAGTGCACTAGCCATTTGTCACTAGAGAGAGTGTTCACTGGTTCCTGCGCATCTTGTGTCGCGTGGATGTGTAGTAAGCTGTCGCTGTCATTTGAGTCTTCACACTCTTGCGCGGAGTCGCAACGCATACCGCTGACTTGGCGGAGTTTTTTTCTACACATCTTTAGCCAGTGATCCGGTTTCTTACAATACTTGCAGACTGTTTCTTTAGCCAGGCATTTTCCTTCATCGTGAACTCTGCTGCAGCTGGAGCAGTTGTTAACATGACTGTAGCTATACCTCGCTTCTTGTGCGGAATCTCGTTCCTTTCTCCAAAACTGCTTCTGCTGTACGGGTTGTCCCTTCCTGTAGCTGTTACTGACGTGTCGCCTTGTTTTGACTGCGAGAATTTCTTCTCCATGCATCGTTTTCATTTGGCTCTGTGATAACTCAAATTGCTGCCCTATTTCAATAGCCTTTGCTATAGTGAGCTCTTGTCACTGATCTAGAAGACGTTCTTGTATCTTACGGTGTCGTACGCCATTGATGATTAAGTCAATCATAATGTCATCCGGGTGTGTGTATTCACAGTCCATCAATAGAATCCTCAGATCTTTGACAAAATTACCAAACGTTTCACCTTCTGACTGAGATCGTTCTTGAGCCTTGAATCTCGCTACTCGCTTGTTTTTCCTAGGTCGGACATATTCTTCAATTTTCTTGAGAATTTCTTTGGGGTCGTCTTTTTGGCCCTGAGCCCATATGAACGTTTTGTAGACTTCCCTACCTTGTTGTCCTATCCACATGCCTAGCCATCCTGCGCGATGTTTGTCATCTGTACTGGCAAGCGGTCCCTTAAATGTAAATTCTACATGCTGTTTAAAATGCTGAAATTCTATATAGGTGTCGCTGGCGCAAATGTGTTTTCCCTGGCATGCATGTATAGTAATGGAGGATGGCTGATTGCAGTTTTGTATCCTACGTTACCATTAAAGGGATACTAGACTCTAGGATTTTACTGCATACAACTGTACTTACTGTATAACAAATCGTCTATACCCACACATACTTGTTACCAGATACCTAATTTAATTGTTATAATTAATTATACATTAATGGGCTAACGCTCCATTAGGAGTGTTCCCAACTTTGATATCATTAATGATTAATGATTGATAATCCTAACCCTAACCTTAACCTAAATGACATTAAACCACAAACTAATATATTATCATGACCATTAATGACATTAAAGTTGGGAACACTCCTAATGGAGTATCACCCCATCAACGCTACGAAATTTGAACGGCGCCATTGACACCCGCAACCGTGCTGCCACCCTGAAAAAGTTGTGCATTTCCCAATAGATGTTGCACGTTACAGACCGAGGGCTAATCACAAAGGTGCAATTATATTTATACCTAAATGCTATTTAACCGAACGATGTTCATTTTAGGACAAATTTATCCTTAATATAACTGAAACTATATGTCGTTTATAAGATATTACAATCCTTTTGCTTTTAAATTAATAAATAAGAAACACCCTCGGTCTGTAGCCCTTGGCTGAAAAGTCGTTTTGCGCAACTTTTCAGAACGTGCGCTTTGTGTGGCGCCACCGTCGTTGTAATCAAACTGTAGTCGTTAGTTTTTTAACATTAAAAAAAAAATTTCTAATGGTGATTGAACCATGAAACTTTTAATGTAGCGTAATTTTAACCTAAATTAACTGAAAATAACCCTAGAACCTAGAGTAAAGGATCCCTTTAACTTCTACATAGCAAATAATCCCCACCATGTTCATTAACGTGCAACCTTCATTGTAAATATTTTCAGCTGTGGTAATAAATATACCTGCTGCACTCACACCTGCAGTGATACGTTCCGTGTTGTCCAAGCTAGTAGCAAGTGATGAGCAAGGTATGCATGATTATCTAAGTAATTAAATTAAATACATAGAAACATAACTCGTGCGTATTGCATGTTTTCATTTAAATTTAGCTACCTAGAAAATTGTGGTTCAATATTTGACTATTTTTTACGGTTTTAAATCTGTTGATAATTGTTTGGGTACAACATAAGTGACACCACTACATGTACATCCACTTTCGAAGTTGTGAGATGCAACTTTTCAGCTAGAGACTAGGTGCTTCATATTTATTTATTTTAAGGATCACGATATCTTATATTTCACTATTTTAGTTAAATTATGTTTGTATTTATCATAAACATATGTTCCTTCGGTTAAAGAGTAGATGGGCATAAATGTAATTGCACTTTCATGATTTGCTCCTGGTGTGAAATAAGAAATATAAAAATTTAATTGTGCAACTTAATAAGGGGCAAAAGTCCTACAAAGTTATGGTAGTGCACAAAATCTATGATTTTGAAAATCGACATTTTAATAGCAAATGTGAATGCGTAGATATGCGTTTTAATGCATTATGTATCGTAATATTCTAATAATACTATTAAACTATACAGTATTATTTCTCTTCAGAAAATGTAATTAATATAATTAATATCATTAGTTTAACTTAGATTAATAACTTTGGTATAATATACAGAAGTATTGGTTAAACTATTTATTTCATTAAGAATAACAGCTGTGACAATTTCATAGCTGTCAACTTGTACAATTTAGGTGTGAATGACACAACTTTTACCTTGGTTTTGACATTGCAAAGAGCATTCAAAGTTATTCAACCTACTGTGTTAATCTACATAATAAGATACAACTGCAAATAAAAATAACAGATGTGCACCCTGGGGAAAAGATAACGAATTAAAAAACAGGAACAAAATCTTCGCGGGTCACTACACAACACTCGACTTAGCCACTGCAGGACACAGGACCTGACACAGTGGTTGAAAGCCTCAAGGTTACCAGATCTACAGGGCTCTGGTAGTAAGGGGCATTCCAGGAGATGTTACATAGTCTAGTCTTCTCCACAGTCACGTTCAATTGGGCCATCTTCAATGTATTCCCATTTTTTCATGGATGCCCTGCATCGACCAACCCCTGCCCTGAGGCGATTTAGGCATAGCCAGGTAGGTCATGCGTTATTAGCTCCGGGTGGGAGGGATTTCTGGGGACTAAGTAAAAGCTTTTGTTGGCTTGCCTGAAGGTGACCATTATGCGATCCTGTAGTTTTGGGGGTTGCCATCCAGGGGTTGAATTGCGTGAATAAAACTGTGTGGACTTTAGTCTCTTCTGTGCTGGTTCATGCTGGAAAAGGGGGTGGCAAAGGTCATTTTCCTGTTTAAATTTCTCTACTTGGGATGAAGCCATTCGTCTAACGTGTGGAGGAGTAATGCCACACAGCAAGTAGAGGTATTCTAGTCTGGTTGGTCTCAAACATTCAGAAATGGCTCTGCAGGCAATGTTCACAACTGGGTAAATTTTTGTAGCAAAAAATTGACCGAGTTCTGAACAAAAGAACACTACCATAAAATCAGAACAAACTTTCACGTGTGATAAATGTAGTGAGATCTTTTGTTGTTTAGGATCATACATGCATACAGGAGACTCGGCAGCGAAATTATTTAGAGAAGCCAAAAATCTATGATTGTTAGCTCATCTGACATAGTCAGATGCAGCTTTCGTTTAGCAATCGCTATGATCGTTCCGTCCGTCCGGCGTCGTCCTCGGTCGTCGTCGCCGACCGTAACTAAGTTGGGCACAAATCCTTAACCGCGTCGACGTACGGTCCCACAGATATTCGGAGTCGTTTGGGGGGATGTTCCAAACGAGTTGGGGATGTTGTAAGGCTCGGTTCAAAGGTCAAGAGGTGTAAATAGAGGGACTCACTCTACTTAGTAGGTAGGGAGGAAATGCAGAATTGCGGCACCAAATCTAAACTTGACCTAGGCTCGTGATAGTCGGGGCCCTGTATTAGCATCATGGTAAGGGAAAGCATATCACTAGTGCCAAAATTGGAGGTCACAGGTCAAATGTCAATGGCGCACAGGGCAGATTTTAGACATTTCTAGAGGACAGTCGGTCCCTGACGGGACGATTGAAAAACTTTTTTTGTTTTAGGCGGCGTGACCTAGCATTTTATGGCTTTATGAAAAGACATGAAGATGTGGCTTCGCTGACATGCGAAGAGTAAGTGTCGAGTAACCTTTTGACCCCTCAAGAGGAGGGTTAAACAATGGAATTTGTTGACTGGTTGAACAAAAGGAAGTGAACTGCTTTTGCTAATTAAGAGCCCCTCCCCGGCTCCTCCCCACCCTCCCCTCCCCCACCCCTCCCCCCCACTCCTCCCCCTAACCTCATCTGCCGATACGTGGCGTGTCCTAACAATTGATGTCGTTGTACGCAACTTCGTGTCTGCAATATCTGCGCCTAACAAATGTGGTACTTACGCACGACCTGAAATTTTACTCGTTTATGATAATCGTAGCAACAGAACCTCAGATGAGCCCAAGACGCTACTGCGGCTCTTGTGTTTATTGATGTGTGCCAATGATTTACTACATTAATAACATGTTAACAATCAATTAAAACGTTTCTTTGTCAAGGTTCTCTGCATCATTAAATTATTATCAACTAAATTGCTACATAGATTTTAATAATGCTTTTTACTGTTTTATAGGAAAAATGTTTGCCTTTCTTTGGCATCACTGGAGGCCATTTGCAACCGATCGCTGTAGCAAACACTTGGTGTTCAATAATACCTGTATCTGCTGACGAACTCCACTTCATGACCTGGATTTCTGCGTATATTTGTCTGTGCGCTACTGTGCTCGATAACTATAAATAATTGCAATGTAACGTTTGTTTAATTGTCATGAAGAGTAGTTTCAGTCACAAACTTTAAAATTGGATTTTTAAAATAGGAAATTATCACTTTTGTATCTAAAGCTATTTTTTTATACATATTGAGGTAGATATGCTAACCAAGTTTTTACAAAAATTCTTATTGAACAGAAATGTATCGTATTTACAAATAATTTCATGTTTATTTTATATTATTAATAAGTTCCCCGTAATTATGAATAATATAAATGTAATTGATATTTCCACCAGATGGCTCTACATGGACATGAAGGCTGAGCCAGAGCATGATGACCATTACTGCGAGGGAAGAAGGACAGGGGGAATGAAGCAACTTGAAGAAGATGATGGTGATAGAACAATGGGGCCAGACGCCGAGTGTATGTAATGGCAGCCCTCAATCCAAGATGCAGGTATTACGCAATGCAGTTATACTAGTAGCACAACGAAGGTCTGAATCTTTCCAGTGGAGGTCCATATACCGATGCAATGAATGGCATGCCCAGTGTGTATAGAGTGGCATTTCTATCAATCTTCTCATGGTCTCTTCGCGTCTCTCGTACTCCGTTTTCCTCTTCTCTCTCTTGTACGTGCTCTCTCTCTGTCTCTCTCCTAAATCTCTCTCTCTCTTTCTCTCTCTCTTCTTCTCTCTCTGGCTCTCTCTTCTTTCTCTCCTCTCTCTCTCTCCTCCCTCTCGCTCCTCTAGTGTTTCACGGACTCTTGTTTAATTCTCCGCACCTAACAGTAACATCGTTCTTTACTTGACTTAACCCTTCAATTCTACGTGTTATAAGTATTTGTCGTACTGATTACTGTAGTCTGTAGCCTTTAATACAGGACTTGCATCGATTGATTAAAGGGATGTAGACTCTTGGGGATTTTTATCTGCAGTAATCATCTTCTGTACTTAACCTGAAGTTTATTATACAAATTCTTCTATACCCAACATATTTAGTATAGCCATAATAGCCTTAATTTAATTAGTTTTGTAATTAATTTACTAATTCAACGCTTACGAAACAATTATCTGCTGCCACCCTTCTCGAAAATAGTTGCTCGTATTTGAACAATTTATTTTGCACGTACAGACAGAGGCTAATCACAAAGCTGCAATTATATTACTATACCTAAATGCTATTTTAACCGAACGATATTCATTTTTTAGGGAAATTTGTAGCAGTTTATTGTTTTTGTATTGTTGTCTGGTTATTGGAGCAGTAGTTCAATATAATTAATAATAACTTAAATATTTATCATTACCATTTAATTAATTTATCACGTTCTGTCAACGGAATTAATTTGCCATGCTAATTTAGTATAAATTCTGTGTTTATTCCTACAGTAGCGATCAGAATCGTTTTTTACCACGTAATCGCGCTTAGCCATCACGGTAGTGATGGCCATGTTGTGAGGACTAAAACTAGCAAACAGATGCGTGCATTTAACACATGTTTTGGAATGCATTTCGGGCATTTCTCGTCAAACGCCTGCTGTCAGCAGCTTAAATGTGAGTACTCGAAGCTTGAGGGATGTGAATTAAATGTCTTTACATCCGTACTTGTCGATTACGTGAGTCCTGACGCCGGACTCGCGTGTGTGTGCGACAGACGTGATGCCCTTTTGTTTTCCTGTGCAATTCTCCCGCTTGTCCAAGAGTGGACTGTGTAACCACTGTTCTTCTCTCAGGTATAGTCACACCGTTGATCCACTACACTAGCTGCTTGTTTGTTCTCGCGCGTCCGCGAGGTGTCGCCACAAGTATTCAGCGGCCCGGATGGCGAACATTGACAGTTCCGCTGTGTGCACACCGACTCAGCATTGCGTTTCACTTCGTCGGACAAGGACATGTCCTAGCTTATTCGCGAATCGCGGGCCACGTACAGACTATTACAGCCCTACCGGACGCACACCATCGCACTCACACTACAGACAGTGGAGGCCAACTTCCTGTCCTGAGACAATTTCAGGATCGCCTCGTCAGGTAAGGCAGCTCCCGAAGCTTATCGACATGCGCGCTTCTGTTTTGATCGCTTGTACTTGCCAGAGACACTTATAACTCGCGGTCGATGGCCCGTTCCTGTCGATGCAGTGTTGATTATTTTTGTTACTTGCTTAGTAATTGCTGGTACGATTGTATCTAGACATTGCTATTTAATTGTTTGTGACAACTCCAGTGTTTGTGTTTTGATTGCGCACAATAGACCACGTGTTTTGTTATCGCTGTGCCAGTCGTATCGGCTGGTTCGTTTATAACCATAGTGGTTTACGCGATTTATTAAGGGACAGTATGTTAGGCCTGACCGCTGAACCGTGCTTGAAGGTTTTCTGTGCGTAAAACCACTAGTCACGCGAGATACGCTTATACGCATTAGGGTTTGTTTTTGTTTGGAAGCCCGGATTTATTTTTTCCCGTGTGTGATATTCAACTTGATACGATATCGATAGTGTTTTGGCGTCCGTTGATCGGTACAACGTTCGAGTAAGAATGTCGTAAGCCTTATTATTAAAGTTGCTTTTCGAAACGCAATCTTATCTGGTCGCCGATTTTTATTTGGTTTACTGTCCCCAACGGGTCACAAGAAAAAATAGGTGGTGATGCGAAGAGGGACCGCGTGACTCGAGTGAGTGTCTGAGACTCTCACTCCCGAGACTACCGCATATCCATATCGCCACAAATTTATCCATATTATAACTGAAACTATATGTCGTTTATAAGATATTACAATCCTTTTGCTTTTCAATTAATAAATAAGAAACACCCTCGGTCTGTAGCCCTTGGCTGAAAAGTGGTTTTGCGCAACTCATCAGATCGTGCGCTTTGAGTGGCGCCACCGTCGTTGTAAGCAAACTGTAGTCGTTAGTTTTAAAACATTTTTAAATAATATTTTTAATGGTGATTGAACCATGAAACTTTTTATGTAGCGTAATTTTAACCTACATTAACTGAAAATAACCTTAGAACCTAGAGTAAACGATCCCTTTAACTATATAGTCTTCAATCTTAGTACACTATTCAGCTGCTTTTTTGTTTCACTGCTAGTTTAGGGTGAAATAACTGAGCACATAATAATGTTTTATATTATTATTTCTTTTTAGATCATCTTTTAGCCACTAATACAACTTCAAGTGTTGTAGGGCAAATGAACTTTTACATGCAAGTATTCAAGATGTGCTGCCTCTGAAAAGATAAATTTATTTACGAATTAAATAACATGTACATGTGGTAGCCATTAAAGTGAGGATCTTACGTTTTTTCCAAATGTTATATTATTTTCACAACCGTTCCCACACTTACCGGTACTCCTTGCACAACACCAAGTATATATAGAATGACAAACACGTCATAGAGTACTCATGTCATAGAATTTTCTCGATCGATTTGAGAGATGATCACTGATAATATTTCATATAAATTGCAAAATGGATAAATGTAGATCAACTTAGTCTCACCTGTCAGTGTACATATTACTGATTACTTCAGCATAAAAATTACTTTGAGTTTGTGCTGTTATAGGCCATAAAACTTTAAATGAACAGCAAACTTTTACCTGCATTCTTGATATTGCGAAAAAACGACATATGCAAATACTGCCACATATCAAGTGGACGTATTTACGTGACATAAATTATACATGACGTATTACTATACTGGTACCTATCTTGACATGTGGCATCTTGCAAGAGTGAAAATCATGTGCTAGTGATATTTTGAATGTGAAACAAAATTTAATTTGAAATGCATATTAGTGCACATATTGGTGAAAAGAATGATGTGGTAGTGTTCTGTGTGACATGTTAGCCTTACTATATATACACTTGGTGTTAAGTATCAGGTGGTAGATTCATCAAGCTGCGTACGCAAAATATTTTGCGTAAATCTTGTGTACGCAATCGACGTTGCTTAGTTGCGATTCATCAACACAGCTATTTA